GTAACAAACGTTTTGACAACGAACGTTAACTTCAACAATACTTCTGACTGCAGTTCAATTACTCACTACCTACACACACATTGTCACGTCACGCCGTAACCATCTTATATATACCAGACTACCCTATATCTAGTAAATGCTAGGGCATTCACGAAGGAACAAGATACTTCTAGAAACGTGGCGTGACACTAGTCACGTGACCTCGCTGACGCAACAGTACATTCACTTTAAACAGTCACTTTAAACTTAACAACCTTTATAACACACGCTTTAAATCACAGTGATTCACACACTTTTCTTACGGCGCCTACTGTTCGCTTGACTCAATTATTTATCTCTTTAATCTATCTGCCAATCTCGCTGATCTTCTTTGCCAGGCTTATATACTAGAGAAAAGAGGACACCTCGAACAAACGAGAGTTGCCAGGAAAATTCCTGATCCTTCTAGAAACTCCAGCGCGCATGCTTCCAGAATTTCGTGACTTCCGCTGTCTTAACAATAGATTTGTTACTGTAATTGTCCCACTTATTAATGAAAGTACGCTACTAAAGTTATTGATACCGTTTATCGCACAGTAGCTCATTGTGTATAAAAAATTCAATTACCTATATAGTTTTAAAAGTTAATTATCCATTTAATTGTAAAAGTAAATTATCCAGTTAGTTGCAAAAGCCAATTACCTGTTTAGTTATCGCACAGTTGCTTACTGTGTATAAAATACATTATCTATTTAATTATAAAAGTCAATTACCTATTTAATTGTAAAAGTCAACTACCTATTTAGTTTTAGCAATAAGTTATCTTTTTAGTTGTGAAAGTGAATTACCAATTTAGTTGCAAAGGCCAATTACCTGTTTAAGTTATAAAAATCAATTACCCATTTACTTGTAAAAAAAAAGAAAAATAAATGTTATTTAGATGTAGTTGAAATTTTACAGCATCATAGCTATTAAAAGCTACTACTACCAATATATCTCTGTGAACAATGTCCCAAAGATTTTCTTTAAACCTTGGGGTTTAAACGCCTAATGCTGGCAATCTATTAAAAACAAATAGGCCTAAAAATTGGTAAAAAACCAAGTTAACTGCAGTTACCTTGATTTTTATGCCAAATTATTTTCTTACCATTAAGTTTTAAGACATTTTAAAATTATTTACGAATGATTTCGCTTGTGAAGTAAATGTTTGGTCTGGAACTTTACTTGGAGGAATCAAGATCAATATCTAAATATATATATATTTATTTTATATTTTAAATAATGTATTATATGAAGTTATATATTTAGTGTGAGAACTAAACCATATTTTCCCGGAAAGCTGACATTCATCCGATACCTACTTTATTTCATTGCATCAAATTATTTTAGAAAGCTTATATATTTTACACACTGACAGAGTGAAACATCATTATCAACAACAAAAAAGAAAAAAAAGAATCGTCGCCAGGACAGTTAATTGTTAGATTCCACTTAACACTTCAGAAAGGTGTTATACGTTGATACCGTGATCTTCAGAGCTGCGCTTTGCAACACAGAAGAAGACAAGCATTATACAAAGAAAATAAAGATTAAGAGCAGAAAACATAGCATATATTTTCTCTGTAACATGTTTCATTGAGATTTTGTTTTTGTAACACATGTCTATAAGATTCTGCTTCATGGATGTGCTTATATGTACACAGCGTGGTCACAAGTAAATAGACACCTACCTTTTCAGAAAAAAATAAAAATTTTCAGTCATATTCACATGAATATTTA